AACAACAACAACAAAAAAGCCAAAACAAAGGGGCTGGAGAGATGGCTCAGTGGTTAAGAGCACTGACTGCTCTTGCAGAGGACCTGGGTTCGATTCCCAACACCCACATGGTGGCTACAAACCGTCCTTGACTTCAGTTCCAGGGGAATCTGACACCCTCTTCTGACCTCTGCGGCATTGCACGACATGGGTGCACTCACATACATGCAGGCAATACACTCATACACATAAAATAAAAAAAAATATAAAAAAAGACAAAACAACCCTACTGCTCTACAAACAATGAATGTGCATACTCTACTACTGAAAACACACCCTTGATACCAGCACTCAGGAGACATAGGCAGGCAGATTTCTGTGATATCAATGCCAGCCTGGGCTACATAGTGAGTTCTATACTAGCTGGACTACAGGGAGACCTTATCTAAAAAACGAATAAAAAAACATCTTTTGTGTCAGGACACAAAGAATGATCTACAGCAGCCAAATCTGTGATATAAATAGCCGCAGGCAGTCCAAGGGTCCCAGAACCAAAAATTGGTGTGTTGTGTTATCACTCATAATGGGATAATAGAGACACAAGATGAATTACCATAAAATACATCAACATGGAGCACAATCTCTGCAAAAGCAAGTAAGAAAATCTAAGAACTGGCGAGATGGCTCACCAGGGAAAGATACTAAGCCTGATGACCTGAGCTCTATCCCCAGACCCACAGAGTGGAAGGAGAGAACCAACTCCAGCAAACTGTCCTCTGACCTCCAGGCGTGCACTGTGGCACACAAGTGCCCATACACCTATATATACAATAAAGGCTAAAAAATTTTTAGCTGTATGTGATGGCACACACCTTTAATGCCAGCACTTAGGCAGAGAAAGGCTATAGGGAGACCTGTTTCAAAACAAAGTTAAAACATTTATTTATTTATAGTCTTTTTGAGACAGGATCTCCCTGTAGCCCCAGCTGGCCTGGAACTCTATGTAGACTAGGCTGACCTGGAACTCAGAGAGATCTGCCTGCCTCTGCTGGGATTACAGGTGTACACCACCACACCCAGCCTAAAACATTTTTTTAAAAGAAAAGAAGAGGACTAGAGAGATGGCTCAGTGAGTACGAACACTGGCTGCTCTTGCAGAGGGCCCAGATGCAGTTCCCAGCACTCACATGGTGGCTCACATTTACCTTTAACTCCAATTTCAAGAATCTGACAGCCTTTTCTCTACAGGAATTACATGACATGGGTACACTTACACACACGCAGGCAATACACTCATACACATAAAAATAAAATATTAAAAACAAAACAAAAAAAATGCCTTTAATCCCAGCAGGAGGGAGACAAAGGCAGGTGTCTCTGTGAGATCAGGACAGCCTGGTTCATACAGCAAGTGTTAGGCCAGCTGGGGTACAGGAGACCTTGCCTCAAAAAGACCCCCCCCCCAAAGTTTTAATAAGCAATAAAAACTTAATTGAATTTTTTAAAAACTTGCTGAATTTAGCTGATTAATATAAGTAGTTTTTTTTTTTTATGGTCTTTTTGAGACAGAGTCCTAGGATTAAAGGCGGGCACCACCATGCCCAGCAATCAAGTAGTTTTTAAAGTTTTTGTTGGCAACATTGTGGTGTATGTCTATAAATCCCAGCATTTGGGTAGGGGAAGGAGCAGGATCATTCAAGATCATTCCTGGCTACACAGTGAGTTTGAGGCCAGTCTTGAAAAAAAAAAAAAAAGCCAAATGTAGCATTACTTCTCAGCTTTCTAGCTAAGATTCAGTTAAGAATCTATTCTCATCAGCGTAAAATGTGATTTGTCCTGTATCCACAGACAGTACAATGAAGAGTACCTGTGGTAGGAAGATGGAGAGGGAGCTTGTTCTAGCTATTCCTTTCAGCAACCTGAGTGTGCAGCACTGCCCAAACAGCTCACCCTCTGGGGGACTTAACAGAAACTAAGAAGCCAGGCATGGTGGCTGACACCTGTAATCCCAGAATTTGGGAGGCTGTCTGTAAAAGGATCAGGAGTTCAAAACTAGCCAGGGCTACAGGAGACCCCATCTCATAAAACGAACAAAATGAAACACACCAACAAAACAAAACATAAAGCACCAATAATAGTAGCAATGTAGTTTTTTTTAATGTTCACATATTTCAAAGACAAATTAAGAAATTCTCCAATTCCCCCAAATCTCAAGGTTCTAGTGGGTGAGATTCCCAGGGTTAATATATTATCAGGAAATATTACGTGATGTTAAAATAAATGTGGTATTAACAAATTAAGTTCAATAAATTTTACTGGGTTTCTACATACAAGGTAAGCATGTCAGTATCTTTTGGGAGCATCCTACAGGGAAGGTACTAAGGCTAACTCCTTCTAAAAGGAAGATAAATGTGCAGAGAAAGCTATCTGGAGTTACAGAGGTGGGTCCTAATGCTCCTCAGTCACTGATTCACTGGATGGCCATACAACCTGAAACACCAGAGCTTAGCTGGTATGGTGGTGCACTTCTTTAATCCTAGCACTGGGAGGCTGAGACAGGCAATCTGTGAACCTGTCTTAAAACAGAAAGTTTACACCTGGAGTTACATCATGGTCCTCTCCTAAGGGTCTAATTTGTGCCTAATTTTTAGTCAGCTGCAAATGAAATTAATTCTATGCTCTACTTTAATCCACTTAAAATATTTTGCTCTTTGGTAACTTCTGAAACGGTCTAAAGAACCACTGACATAATGAACCAAATGGCACAATGAGCACTGGTACAGGCCCAAGGAGCTGCTCAGTGGTAAAGGCACTTGAGGACCGTAGTTCAATCCCAAGAACCCACATGATAGATGGAGAGAACCAACTTGTACAACTTGTTCTCTGTTCTCCACATGCTGTGGTACAAGTACATGGACATGAATACACACACACACACACACACACACAATGTAAAAAAACTTTAAGCTACCTTCTAATATTCTCAATTTACAATCTATTTAAAATAACAAGCTGTATAACTTTCTGCCAAATGAAGTCTGTCAATGATCTTCCGTGTTTCCTAGAAAAACCAGTACCTTTATTTTCACTGGTTTCTAACTATCTACTACTTCTTTAAAGTTTATTTGCAGAATTGTGAACATGCGTAACTAAAAGTGTGCCTTTGCATCCTGCTTGACTTACTTTTGTCCGATTCTCTGTACTGATCTGACAGTGGAAATAAATGAAACTGCAACAGACAAGGGCAGTGAGAACACCTTGGAACAGCATCTGTGGTTGGCCTGCTAAAAATCAAATGAGAAGCAAAGAGGAAGACAGTAACAAAAGAAAGGAAAGGAAGAACAACTGCTCGATGACTAAGATTCCTAAAGTGGACCACATTTTAAAATTATTATTATTATTGGTTTTTTGACATGGTCTCCCTGTAGCCCACTTGGCCTGGAATTCCCTATGTAGACAGGCTGGCCTCAATCTCAAGAGATCCACCTGCCTCTGCCTCCCAAGTGCTGGAATACAAATGTATTTGTATTTTATATGTATGTTTTACCCTATGTATAAAATGCTCACGGAGGTCAGAAAAGGGTGTCAGATCCCCCTGGAAATGGAATTATGGATGACTGTTAGCCACGATGTGAGTGCTGGGAATTGAACCCAGTCCTTTGCAAGAGCCAGTGCTCTTAAACAGATGAGCCATCTCTCCAGCCTCTGAATTGTACTGACATTCCAGAGTTCCAGAGGGAGGAAACATTTGGTAATGAAGCTGTCTGTAGGACACAGGATGCATGTGGAAGTGGTCTTCTTCAAAACAGGCTACCTACTAGAAAAGCAGAAACATTCAAACCTGGGGAAGAGCTAGAGGCCCAGGAGCCACCCCCACATATGAGTATGCAAAACTCAGATAAATGTGCTTGCTACCCGGTCATTCTCATCATAGCACACCCAACCCTTTCAGCCAGGACCTCTAAGGAGGAAAGTACCTGCAATGCGGAAGAAAAAAAAATCCACAAATGAATCCAATACACAAAGAGGCCTGAAAACTACTGGTTTAAGGAAGTTGAAGCAACAGTGCCCTAAATAACACAGTTGGAGGAGTACTGAAGACCACATATAAAGCATTAATTGGTTCTCTGCCTTCTAATCAGTCCCTGACTGTCCCATAACTAAGATTCCCTGAGCTATCAAAAAAAGGCCACCACTAGGACAGAAGAGAGAGAGAGAGAGAGAGAGAGAGAGAGAGAGAGAGAGAGAGA